TTTATGTAGATGCTGTGGAATAAAACTAAATCTTTTCTTTGTTTTACAGCTGAGTGAAATAAGTGGAATACCCTTAGAAAACATAGAATTTGCCAAGGTTAGTAAGATTATATGTACATTTTATGTTGTATTGGAATAGATGTGTAATTTTATTCACAAAGTAATTGCTGCTTTTCAGGGTAGAGGAACGTTTCCATGTGACATTTCTGTACTAGAGATTCACCAGGACTTGGACTGGAATCCTAAAGTATCTACACTGAATGTCTGGCCTCTGTATATTTGTGATGATGGCGCAGTAATATTTTATAGGTACGTATTGCAGTATAATGACCTGTATAAAGATCTGCAACTTAAATTGCGGAATGATACAAACAGAAGCCTCAAACATTGTTCTTCTGTTGTCTTGGGGAAAAATACTTAGGATGAGAGGGCTGAAAATGCTGAGCTGAAATATGATCTGTGGCTTCCTCCAAACCAGCTTGAAAATGATGTGGCTTGCTGGGAAACATGATACTAGAATTAAAGTGATAATTTTAAGGTATTTTTTAAGATATATTTTCATTTTAGGGATAAAACCGAAGAATTAATGGAATTAACAGAGGAGCAGAGAAATGAACTGATGAAAAAAGAAAGCAGCAGACTGCAGAAAACTGGACACCGGGTAACCTACTCTCCTCGTAAAGAAAAAGCACTAAAAATATATCTGGACGGAGCGCCAAATAAAGATTTGACTCAAGACTGATACTTGCTATAGCATTTTCCCTGGGAAATTTTTTTGTTAAAATAAAAAAAAGTTCACTACTACTGTGTAGTGCCATTACGGCAGGACACTCATTAGGTGTAAAGTGCTGACACCAGCACTGGCTGGGCTGCGTTCCCAGTCAGAAGCTCAGTGCCCCGGTGGGTCACTGTTTGACTTGGAATCATGTTGTGCACTATAGTCAAATGTACTGTAAAGCTAAAAGGGATGTGCAAATAAAAGATTAGAACTCAAAAATGGGCGGGGAGGGAAATGAGTGGAAATTTTTGAGGACAGTGTGCACATAGCTAGTGAAACTAGCCTCAAACAGGATATTCATAGCTTAATAATAAAAGCTGTGCAAAGGCCATGAAAGAATCCTTTTTTTTTTTTTTTCCTGTTTGTTTCACTGATACACACATTACCTCATCAGAGAGTCTGAAGTAAAAGTTAAAACATGGGTTATAGAAAAGCAGCAACAAGGGGTCGAAGATGTGTAATGGAAGTGCTACAAGTGTTGTAAGGTTTTAGGATATCCTTCCAGCAATTGGGCAAGCTGAGACAGGTGTCTTTGGAAAGCTGCTGCAGGTGTTGGCTTGTTTTGCAGAAAGGCTGTTGTAAGGTAAACTGGGGTTTTAATAGGTTCTGGAAGCTGGTGAGCAGCTCTACTATTGCATTCAATGTGTAAATAAAACGTGCCCTCTCCATTTAACAAAACTGCAGTTCAGCTATTTACAATGGTATTTCTGTTCACATATCAACATTCATTGTGTACATTTGAAAGTATAGTTGCCTATTTAAATTTGTATTAATTTTGTTTGACAATGCTGGGTACTTTAGGATTGTATTTCCCCTTGTTAGTGAAGTTTCTGTTTTGTTCAGTTAATTTTTTGTACATTTTGTTTTTGAGACTATTACAAGTTTGCATCTTCTCCACCCACTGAAAGTTTTTTTTTTTTTTTTTTTTTTTTTTTTTTTTCCTGGAGTTGATTCTGTAGCTATATGTAGTTAAGTATTTGGGCAACCTCCAACACCTCAACATACAAACTTCTTGGTAGTTCAGGTTGTGGTGCAAAGACTGATGCAGCCAACGTGATTTCATTGCAAAGCCTAGGAACAGCAATTTTTTTGCTTTGGTCCATAAAGATCAATAGAGAACAAGTCTCCCTAGTTTTTGGAATACCACCTGATTTATAATAATCAAATGATTTTGGTAAACTTTTTCATGCCAGATGCTGTTTACAACAATGAACATGCCAATAAAACATTTGTTCATTCTGCTGTGTTATTTTAGTCATTAAGTGCTGTGGATTTTTTGGGGAAATAAAAGAAAAATCAGAATTATTTCACAGAAATGCCGACTTTTCCAAGACAGCTGGTGTGAATTTTGAGGTACTGTATATGCATGTATACTGTATATACACATACCCCATGCTGGTAGAGGGGATATGGACATGTGGTGTTTTAAAACCTGTTTGCTCCTCCTCTTTGCTTATATTCACAGATTTTTTCACCTGAAGCTTCCTTTCTAGAATTGGATTCCTCACTGGTGAAACTTGCAGGCTCCAGGTGTGCTTGGCAGCTAAGTTTTGTCCCAGAGAAGACAAAGGTGTTTGGAGAAATGACTGTGCAGCTCCTGCCGTCCAGCAACCTGAGCAGCCCAAGGAGTCCCGCAGCTTGAGAGCCTGGGCTGCAGAGAGGAGCTTCCACGTTCCTCCTTTTTCCGTTTTGTCTGGACTGCCTCATCTCCCACAGAGGTGAGATGGCAGCAGGGTGTGAGCACCATCCTGTAGGTGGAATAGCTTTGTTGAGCTACCAGTTAAGTGCATATATAGACCTCTAAAGAAGTCTTAACTGTTGCTGGAAGACAGGAGAGGATTCATCCATCAAATGCATCATGAATTTTTTTTTCAGAGTCAGACATTTGGGGAACAAAAAAAAAACTAGCTGTGGAGTAAAGTAATCCCTAGTGCTATTTGGGGAGCTTCAGCATAGCAATTAGTTTTAAACCTGCAAGCTTTGGTGGAAACCTGGATGGAAGACTGAAGGGCATCTTTATAGTGATTTTCTGCCAGTAGCATGTTTCAGTACCAGTGTGTTGGTATATGTATCTGGGTGTTCTGGGAGACATTTTGCAGTCTCTGCTTTACATTGTGATCATTTTGTTTTGGATTTGACCATGGGTATTTTAAAGGAAAGAAAACAATAGTTGAGTTGCTAATTAACTTCTGTTGAAATCTTGCTAAAATTTCTGACAGTAATCAACTGTTTTGCCTTTTCAGTTGAAACATCAGGAAACTTTTTGCTGTTAAATAGGGTAGCCTTATTAAATAGGGACTACCCAGTTTAAGCATGGACAGTTCCTGCTTGCTTGAAGTAGATCTTTTAAACAGGCAAACCACTGTATTGATGGACTGTGTCTAAAGTGCTATCATTTTATATGGGATAGAAAGGAGAGACGATTTGGTGAACTGAGTGGGCTGAGATCGTGTGGATGTGCATGTGTTGATGTGAGAATTGGTGGTAAAATGAATTCTTAAATTAAAAGACTTCTAATGAAATGTCTCCACTGTGCAGAGTGCAGCGATTGTCATTATCCACCTGAGCTCGTGCACCCAAGGGATTTGTTGAAAGGCTTTCACAGAACAGAATGGGTAGAAGATTTGAAGGCTAATAGCTCAGCTTAGTTAATGCTCTTGCTTAGTTAATGGTGCAGAGCTTTGACATAAATAGTAGGGACTGATGTTGGGAAGAAGCTTCCTGAAAAGTTACTTGGCTGGAGCCTCATGACAGCTGGTAATATAGCCAAGAACAGATGGTGAAATCTAAGCCCCCCAAAATCATGAATAGTGGGAGAGCTGTTCATTTGTAGCAAACTGTTATGAAACAGCTGGGAACCGGGGAGTTTCATGGATCAGACCTTATTCCTGGCTTGCTATTGATCTTGTAAATCAATGACCTGTTGAAATGGTAATGATAATATTTGCATTTTGTAACACAGATACATACCTGTGAAGTGCGCTAAAAACACAAGCCATTCCTTAAAGAATTTCCTCTGGAAAATTGGTGAGGTGCAAGTCCCTAGATGTGAATAAAAACTACTTAAGGTGTCTTAGTGAGAAACTGTACTAATTAACTTGTGTTCACTTTCCCTTTTTCCCTTAAGAATGCTAGGATAGTCTGCCAATCCCTGGATCAACGTTACCCAAGAAGGTACGTCCGTGGAGTGCAAAACGCTGCTGTTTATGAGGTGCCAGAATTTGCTCTATCTGGAGTGTGGCCTCCTGAGTGCAGCTGCACTGTTCTCTTTCTGTGTGTGTGTATACACAAAGAGAGATTTAGTGTACGACTGAGATTCTACATTCTTGGTATTCAGCCCGTTTACGTTTGGTTTGCAATTTTAAATAATAGATTTTTTTGCCTTTGGGAGATACAGACCACATCAGCCAGCCTTGGAAGTTCCTATAAGCAAATGAATGTATTTATGTATGTAAGTATGCACACTGCATTTGTTTTCCATATGGAAAAATGTGGGTTTTCTGGGCTGGGGGTGTGGGTTTTTTTGCAGGAAGGTTTGTTTCCCTGGTACTGTGCCATGTTTCCAGACACCAAGGGGGCAAGGTGGGCCAAGGTCCCTCCTTTCTGAAAGCAGGAAACTCAAGGGGTGCTTTATAGCTGGGGGACACCAGCACTTACGTTAGGCTGAAGTTTGTTGCAGGACAAATGATCTCCCTTGTACACAGCTGCAAAGGTGGGGATATTCACATAAAAGAGTAGGCACCTTTTCATCCTTCCTCCTACAATGTGGAGGAAAAAAATCAGCAGCTATATATTGCAGCTTCATTGATTATATTTGTGAAAGAAAAAAAATACAGAGCTCAGGATTGAAAGCCAAAAACAGCCTCGAAGCAAGTAGATGGTTCTTACTCTAGAAAAATAAACCATTCTAAATATATGTACAGGAAATATTCAAAATGTCTAGGGTTGCTAATAAGTTAATATATTTAATGAGAACAAGCACTAGCAGGTTTAGTTCTAATGTGAAAAGGGGAAGTACCAATCCAAAGGAATCCACTGGTATTTCTCACTTGTCTTTTAAGCAGATGTTTGGTCCAAGGTTTGATAGAATGAAATCAGCTGTAGTTGGACATGCAGCCTTGGTGCCCAGGGAAGGGTGCTTGTTGAAAACCTTTTTTATTGCACTTCTATCCAGCAGTATGCGTTTAGGGTTTATATAAGCAAGACCAAAAAATCATAGAAATAACTGAATAACTGGTGTTGGGACTTAAATTTCATCTCCCAAAAACAGCTCATGAGCAGAGTCAGGCTCTTTCAAACCTATTTGGTCCTCAAGACTTTCTAATTCTTTACGCACTTCCTGGATGACGCTGCTTTCTTCGTAATCGGAAAGCAGCTCTCTGGGTATCAACCCAGGAAATGGCATCTCGGCCATGATTAAGGGGTCGTCTTTTTCACTGCTTCTGGTTTCCCCGGAGGACAGTTCACACACGGACACAGGGCTATGGCTGTTGGGGAAAAAAAAAAAGCATAGTCATGTAGGGCATCTTCCTGTGTTTTGTTGCCTGTTCCCTAATAAAATGCTTGATTCCCTCGCCATGTGAAAGCATAGTAGATACATAAAACTGCCATCCATATCTACATAGCTTGCTTGATAATCCTCTGACTTTACATGCTTGACAGTTGGAGAGCTGAGGAGGAGTTTTGCACATGCAGAGCTAGAACAGCATGTTTGGCCCTGGGACACAAGATGGCAGTGGCCTTCAGCACAGTCTGACTCCTCTGCCACAAGAGATCGTGGTGCCACAAGCGCTTGCTCCTTTGTTAATGGCATAATACCAAATTAAGAAATGAAATACTTGGTCTTATTTTCTGCATTCCTCTGAAGCCAATATTGTGCATTGTCAAAGTGTAAAATTTGTCAAGCTTTTGTATTGCTTCTAAATGGGACAGCCCAGTAGCTGTGTTTGCTGCTCTTTTTATTGCTTGGAAAGTTGGTCTGGTTGCCTACTGAGATCCCACTTTGATATAGGAACTTTAAAATAGAACAAGAAAAATTTATAGCTGTTGACAGGAAACGGGGAATAGGACTTACTAACTGAGGTTGTGCCCCTTGGCAGTGCAAGGGACTGTACAGGACTACAGGTCCCTTTTGCAGCAGACAAGTTGACTCCTGCAGGCTCTCTTCAACTAACTGCCTGCTTAACATTGTGGTTTCTCTTGCTGAGAAAGACTTCTCTTTGAGCTGACTATTTTTTAGGATGTAATAGAAAGGCATGATGTTTTTATTTGTTTATCAGGCACTAGGCACACTTTCAGCCAAAGGTCACTTCAAGTGGTAGGGTGGGGAGAGCACCGTTTTTTAATAGAAAAGGTTCAAATTCACTGTGTAATTTCACAAAATTCAGAGCTTTAGCCTGCTTTCCATGTGAGTCACTGGCAGGCAATATGCACAGTATTGCTGTAATTGTCATGATACTAGACAGGCAAGTAATTCTTGTGGCTATAGTTGGATGGCTCAGATATATTCTCATTCTAATTTATATCTGCTTTTTATATTCTCATTTGAAATGTTTTCTTCCTTACTATATCTGACCTACTGCTGATATCTTGGCTGAGGTTGATAGCACTTGTGCATAAGCTGAAATTACTGTGCTGAAGATCTGTTTTGCTTGCTTCCTTAGATGAAATTTGTGAAAGAAAATATTATTCCTTTGCTTTTCATGTGTTTAAAAAAAAAAAACATTGGACAGGGAAGAGAAATTAATCTACACAGTAAATAAGAAATGTAGATATGCTATGTTGTCAAAAGCCACTAGAGGGAAATGTGTAAGGTAGCAAGAAACTTGGGCAGTAGGTCCTAAGTA